TGAAAATAAATAATTTACCATTTTAAAAAAAAGAAAACTTAAAATAATTAGCTAAGACAAGTTGTTTCTTCTAGGTTATTTAATTTTTTTTCAACTCGATTGAATTATTTAATTATTAATTTTCACGTTTCTTATTCTTTTTTCTTTAATAATCTACAAGTTAATAAAAAAATAACAAATGAATTTTCAAAAATGAATTTTTTTGTCATTTGTATCTTAACTTCTAGATTATATAAAAAAAAAAAAGGAACAAGAAACGTGAAAATTAATAATTAAATAATTCAATCGAGTTGAAAAAAATTAAATAACCTAGAAGAAACAACTTGTCTTAACTAATTCTTTTAGTTTTTTTTTTGTTTAAAATGGTAAATTATTAATTTTTATGTTTACTTTAACTCGAATTTTTCTTCTTCATTTCTTAATTTTTTTTAAAAAAATTTTATAATCTAGAAGTTAAAATACAAAGGAAAATAAATTTTTAAAATTTAGAATTATACTACCAGTGTATGCAAGTTAGGAATTATAAAAAGAAGAATTGTAAAAAAAAAAATTAAATTAAAAAAATAAAAAATAAGAAAATGATAAAAATACATCTGAACCCAAAAGCACGTGAAAAATGGATTTCCATCACTATTTAACGACCAAAATTAACACAATAATCTGAAATAGATTAAAACTTTAGTAAGGTAACCTGTGTTACAAATAAATTTAATTGATGACTTAGAGTAAAAATATATTAATAGTTGACTTGTTTTGAGGTTCACTCTTAAAATAATTCAAATTGTTATATCATAATAACCATTTAAATTTCAAATTAAGAGCAAATTTCATTTACAATTTATTTTAAATAGATACTTTTGATTTATTCCTTTCACAAACATAATCTTTCTCAATTGACGATAAAATGGCTTAATAATTACTATAGTCTAAAAAATAAAATAATTAAAAATATTATTTTATTCCTAATATCATTTTCTAAATCAAGTAAAACTAATAGCATGTTGAATAAATGCAATAGATGTTTATATTAATTTTCTCACTATAAAATTTATGGCTATAATAAAAATTATTATAAAAAATAATATTTATTACATATGTTTTACGACCATTATTCATGTAATGGACGATTAATTTATGTAAATTTAAAATAGTCTTGAATTCAAGTTAATCAATTTATTTGTTTATAACTTAAAAATACAAAAATACAAAAATATCAATTACATATGGAGTTTAGGGTATTTATTATTTATTTTATACATATTATTATGTTAAAAATATCTTACGATTCGATACACGATACGATACGCGTATCATAAATTTAGGTTTTCGATACACGATACGTATCACGATTTGATAACTATGATTGTAATAGCAATAAGAAAATTAATCCTCAAAGGATATGTAATTATATATTTATTACAGGTAGAAATACTATACCATCTGTGTACTGTTTTTTTTGGGCACACAGATATTTTATCTGTTCTAAAATTATTATTTAATAAAAACTTTTACTTTTAGTTCAATTTGTAATAAAACTAAATATCCAAACTGGACAATAATCTTCCAAGTTGTCGGAGCTCAATGCCCAACATGCACGTCGACGGATATTCGGTTGGACTTAATAATACACGTTTTCACCATACGTTGTATCTAATCCATATAGTTTAGAAGAGCAGATAACAAGCCATTAAATAAAGAGGAAGAATTTGCTGTAGGGGGGGGGGGTGTTTTGAACTTGAGACATGCTACATCGTTCCCTATTTTTGCATTGAGTAAAAAAGATCCTAATACATTAATTGCCACTTATTGTGGACAATCGATAAATAAATTTCAAGACGTATTGGTGTACCATTTTTCTGCTGTATTTGGGCAAAACAAATCTCATCAATTAATTATTACCGATATTAATTCGTTTTGATTCTTTTCCCTCTTCAAATATACGAAAAATTAATGACCACCCCCCACTATATAAAAAGGTATCCCGTAGCCTAAAGTCCATACCAGTTCACTATTAGTCAACAATCCGGTTTCACAGTAGCATACGCATATCCTTTCATACAACAACATGGGGTTTTCCAAATGCTTTCTGGTCCTTTTTCTCGCCTTTGTTGCTCTCACTCCATCAACAACTTACGCTCAAAGTGAGTCCTTTTTTTTTCCCCCCTAACTATAGACAATTCTTTAATTTACTTTTTTTTTTTTGTGGTGATAGTATTTGAACATATGAAAGGGTTGGGTAGAGTAATAAAAGCGAGAAGATTTGTATCTATGCGGTTAAGGTCGGGTTCAATTTTCAAATGGCCAATGTAATCCACAATAAGAATAAGGTGTTAATAACGATTTTTCACTTATTTTCTCCTGTCATGATTTGAACTCGTGACCTTTTGAAAATAAGGGTGGAACTTAATGTTAATAATTCATTCTCAATGTTGGATGCAAAATTGGCTATAATTTTGATTTATTTTGTGGCAAAAATTTTATATGTAATCTTAACTAATGATTTATTATTATTATTATTATTATTATTATTATTATTATTATTATTATTATTATTATTTTGCAGTTCCCCTTGATCCGTGGTGCATAGGACAATGTACTCCAACATTCCAAGATGCCCAATGCTTCACAAGTTGTCTACAAGCAACAATTGGACATCAAAAATTCAAAGGCGGTCACTGTTTTATTCCTCCAGGTCAGGGCCCAGCAAAGCAGTGCTGCTGTGATCCAAAATTTTGAGGCTTCAGGAACAAAGTCCAATATAAATTAAAGACAAAATTCCAATAATAATATTATTATTATTATCACTATGTAACTAGCAAATATTCTTTGATACTCAATACAAAACTTCAAAGTTATTATTCGAATACGAGAACGAGAAAATTTACACTCCACCCGTTTTCATTTAGCATTTCAGTTGGTTTTCCCTTTCAATGCGAACAATTCATTTATTTATTTATTTATTACTTCTTGCAAAAATACAAAAAAAAACTCACTAAGCGTGCTATATCTAATATAAATCGCATTGGTAGCTTGTTATTACAAAAATAAAGACTCGTTAAAAGATTAATTAGATCTTCATTTACATTGATAAGATATACGTGTGAGTGCAATTCGGTGAAGTTCCATTTTGTTACGCTTTTAATTTATATTCATCTCATTTTCATGATGCATATTGTTGAATTAAAATATGGCCTTCCTGCTCTTTTGACCTTTTGACTGCATTGAGGCTCTTTGATGGCCATTGGTTTGGTGCCATTAATCATTTGAAGTAACGGAAAACCTCCGTGGCCTATGGCGGCAACTACAGCAAACAAAACACCCAAAAGATAAATATAGATCGAATGGAACCTACCCATTTGGATTTTGGAAGGAAGTTACTCCCTCTGTCAAAAAAAAAAAAAAACAGTCTACGTTAAATTTTAAATAAAAATAATACTCTCTTCGCTCCATAATTATTGTCCTGTTTAGATTTTCATTTCTAGTTCAAATTGTACTAAAAGTGAAATTTCAAATTGGACAATCATTTTGGGATAGAGGGAGTATTTTTTTTCTTTTAAGTTAGAAATATAGCGAAATCGATTATTCATGATGGAAATTAGTCGCGCTACCTCTTTTTTAACTAAGCACTTTAGATTCTAAAACAAGCAATATAAAGGTAATAAATTAACTAACTCGTGATGTAAGTGTGTACTAGTTATCAAAACCGTCTGAAATCAACAAAGCTCATGGGAGTGGGGTAATGAAATTGTCAAAAATGATGTCAATACCATAGTTCAAAACACGCTCTAAAAAGATTCAACCTGCATATATGTAGTCACTTCACCTATTCTAATATTAATTAGCAATTTGTTACAGTCTCATAACCAAATAAAAACGTATGTTCGGCCAACTATAAAGAGCGTTGCAGAATAGGTACAGAGTACAAAATTAAAACTACATAATGGTATGATTAAAACCTAATAGCATTATGGTTGTTAAATAAATTGCAACTTCTGTCTCATCGTGACAAGAAAAAATATCTCACAAAGGTGTAACCCAACAAGATGATTAAAGTAATCATCTATCAACATCTTATCATGCACTCGAAAGTCAAACTTATAATATACTGTATATCATTATGCTATGATGATTACTAATAATAAAGACCACTCTATTTGGTTAACCATCATGTATTTATGCAAATGGCCAATTCTTTATGATTATTTTATCATCTGGTGTAACCTCCCAAAGCAACAGTGATGATTCTACAATTTTAACCATTGTAATTAATCTATTTTTTGATTTTTTTTTAAGAAAAAACAATGTTAAATTATTATCATCTCCGGGCCACCAGTAATATCAACAAAAGCCGCCCAAGAAAAACCAAGACGACTGAATTTGCTGTCATGGCCCAGTCATTCTTCATTAGACTGAGCACGAGGTAGGTGGGCTGAGGTGTGGTGTTTATTTATTCCCCAATTTTTTTGATTACGTCTTTTCTTTTGCTAATTAAAAAAATTCAAGAAAGAAGATGAATACAATTTTTCTTTTGCTGATTACGTCTTTTCTTTTGATTAGAAATTGTAGGCTAAAAGGCATACAACAAAAGCTAGAACGCAACAAAATGTTACTGTTAAATTTCCCATCCTAATTGTTATCTTTGACAAGTCAATCGTTATTATTGGATCATTTCTCAACAAAATATCACCAAATACCGTATATTAATCAAGTTTTATTAGTAAAATGATAGATAGATTACAGTTAACATCATTCGATGTGCTCATTATAAGTAACAAGGGATGATATCATTTGCACGCTCATGTGTCTTCACAATCTATTTCCAAAATATATATAGGATAATGATTTGTACAGGGAAAAAATGATAAGGAATTGATCATAATCATTCATTTTTAACACTTTTCATTTGGGGTTTACGCATTTAAGGTTAAGACATAATTTAAATGATTGACAACTCATTTCTTGTAAGTTTTCCTTGTAAATTTTTTTTGTACTTACCATTACTCGTACATATATATATATATATATATATAAATATATATATTGAAAAAAGAAAGCAATAAAAAGAAAAGAAAAGAAAAGGGAACAAATCAATTCATCCTTATCTATCCACCATATTCTTCTGATATATACAGCTTGGAACTGAAAGGCCACATAAACAAAGCACATTATCGACTGATTCAAGTCAAAAAATTCTAAATGAATTTAAATGGGTGGCTATATTCTTCTCCCAACACACAAAATAAAAATTCCATTTACAACAGAGCAAAAAAGATATACAAAATAATTTTAACTACTATATCTTATACTGTATGGTTTTAATTTCACCCTCCCCCAAAAGGATTTTGTCCTGCTGCTCTTCAATTATTGGGCACAAAATCTGCAATTTGATGGCTTTCTTTTTCAATTTGGTTGAAGCAGCAATGGCAAGAAAAAAAGCCATGAATATCGGTGTATTGTGTCTTCAAGATGGCAAAAAAGGAGAATTATTTAAAAGGTTTCCCATTTAGTTGTCACTACAACTGGCCCTGGGGACCTCTCATTGAAAAGTCCATTTTTTCTTCTCTGTTCATAATGACTTTGTTGGATTGGCATCATCATCTCTGCCTGTCCTGTAAACATTGTATGGTGCTGCTGGTTCTGCAATTTTGGAGCTGCATTGTTTTTGTTGCCTACACCCGAATTCCTTATCTTCAGCACATCTAGAGTTTCAATGTACTTCTGCACCCTTTTCACCTTCAATCATCAACCAATTATCGCAATGTCAGAAAACGTTATCCTAGCTACACTTTGGAACGTGACTATTATTTTGGGACGAAGATAGTAATGTATACAATAATAAAGATATCATTGACCCGCTAGGGCGCTATACTCCTCGTCAATTGGTTTTGAGTATGTAATTCGGCGATCATGATTCATTTACCTGCATTCTTCTTTGCATTTTCGTTTCTCCATCAGCAGTGATGGCATCAAGTTTAATGAGTTGGGTCATGAGTTGTTCAATCAAGCTCAAAAGAACTATATCTGTCACTTTTTTCCCACTGGAAATCTCCAATTCAGATGATACAACCTGTACAAGATTAAAACAGAACAAAAACACGAGTATCTAAAAAATTTGACTGCGAATTTCGAAAAACTCTGTAACAAATGTGTTTGAAAAAAAAAAAAAAGAAGGTTAAGTTACCTGTTTAGCAAGCTTATCAACTTCGATTCTGATCGCTGCAATCTCTTTTGATGCTTTCTCCATCTTGGCATTCTTCCTCGATTCGAGCAAACGCCTTTCTCTGCTAAGTTCATCCTCAATCAGCACCAGTTTTGATCCATTCTTCACACCAGCAAAATCAAGGAACACTTTGGAATCCCTTTCTTTGTCTTTGTACATTAGCTTTTGATCCTGTGGGTGCAATCCTGTTGGTTCTGCCAGCATCTTCTTCAATTCCCCTGAAACCACCCCATCATCAAAATTTCAACTCAGTACAATGAATGAATGATATACAGGCACTAAAATCCAGAGACATGAATTCCAGGAAAATTTACCAAAACTTGCAGAAGAACTGATATTGACTTCATGATAAGATGAACCATATTTCACCCTGACTTTAATAATTGGAACTACATTGGAATTCTGATTGGAATCTATAGTCCTCTTCTGTACTAACATCCCTCCAGGCCTAACCTCCCAACCTCCCAGCTCTGCATTACCGTTACCTCCTCTGGCCGGAGAAGGCATTCCGGTGGACTTAGGCCTCATGACTCTTGACATTTTCTTTAAGAAATTTTATCAAACAGAATCTGTTCTTATACAAAGAAGAAAAAAAAAAAAGGTTGATGGAGAGAAAATGGGTATCAAAGATTTTAACAACTTGTCTGCTAAGCTAAGAACAAAACCATGAAAGAAGAAAGAACCAAAAGGTTCTGACCCACTGAATCAAGAGTTGTCAGAGGAAGAAAACTCTCCTCATATAAATGAATAACACCAACATACCATGCAATCTCACTTGCACCTAACCAAAACTCACCAAATCAAAAAAAAAAAAAAAAGAAGAAGAAATTTCAGAGGGATTTCTCATGAAGTTTCTCTCCAACAAGAAACTCTTTAACTAAAAACTATGATACCATTTAACAACTTAAGAGAGAATAAAGAATGAAATGTGATTGATTCCCTAAAGGGGTGGATGGAATGGGGATGATGAGAACTTAGGAAGCTCTAAGAGAAGCGTTTATATATGTAAAAGGGAAAATGTAACTTTATGTATTTATTAGTATTATTATTGATGTGATTTAAGTTTTTTTTTTCCTTTTCTTTTTGGGTTCTTTTTCTAATGTTTCATTTTCTGCTTTTTTTTTTTTTTTTTGGTTGTTGGGATGTTCTTAATCAAGCCTCACATAAATAGGATTGTTAAATTGTACTTCTAAATGCGTTATTATGATGTGTGGAACATAAATTAATACAATTGGCCTCAAAGAAGTCATTAAATTAATTAAAAAGGTGTAGTTGTAAATTGAAAGGTCAAGGTCAGTGACAGTTTTTCTGGCTTTATTGTATTTTCCCAATCTACTAATTATAATTTTTTTTTCCTTTTTTGGAGAATTGGGATTTCGGGCCATATAACTTCCTTTAATTTTTTTACGGTAGAATAATTAAAGCGGTTTTAGTCCATTTGCAATGATGGTCCATATTATACATATGTGTCCTCCCTTTGTTGCTGCATATATATATAGATTATCTAGAACGACATGATTTTAAAGTTAAACGAACAAAGCCTAATTTCAGAAAATTTTGATTAACTTTAAGCTTTACGAACCCTTTTATGGTACATGTTCCTCTTTTTCTGCATATGGATAATACTAACAAAATTGTATAGATTCGATCCTGGATCAAGCAAATTTTTAAATACAAAATGGTAGTGTGAGAATGAGGGAATGTAGTTAAATTTGGTAATGGTTTTTTTTAAAAAAAAAATTTCTAAACTGTTGCTGACAAAAGTTAGATTGTTCTAACCAAGAGTTTTTTTTTTTAAGTAGCTCTAATTAAGCAAGAGTTCATCCTAATATCGTAGTTACATATCTCTACCTCATAATATTTTTTATTAACTAAGTAAAAGGAATAACAAGTACGATATTTATTATATATAAAACTTTCCCTAAAAAAAAAGAAAAAGGAATGACGATATCGTAAGTGATATAACAGGAGAATTGTCGAAGTATATAAGTACTTTGGGCCCCATCTCAAAACCAATTGGCAATGAGTGGGATGGTCTTTGAAACTTATATACTGAGTCACTTCTCTTTGGAATGACGATGTGGCAATGAGTGGGGTGGCTTTTGAAATTTATATACTGAGTCACTTCTTTTCGGAGTGGCGATGTTAGTGGCGATGTGGAACAGATATTACATTTTTTAACACACCTCAAGTCCAATGGGTCTTTGAACTTTTTGTCCAATTAATTTGGATCAGAACAAGAACTGAATAGCCCACGAGTCAACGCTGAAGTGGGAGAAAGCCAGTTGTATCGCTGGTTCGGTCCACAACAAGCCCACGTTCGAAGTGGCGATGTGGAACAGATATTACATTCTTTAACATCCCTCAAGTCCAATGGGTCTTTGAACTTTTTGCCCAATTAACTTGGATCAGGACAAGAACTGAATAACCCACGAGTCAACGCTCAAGTGAGAGAAAGCCAGTTATACCGATGGTTCGGTCCACAACAAGCCCACGAGCCAACGCACAAGTGGGAGAAAAACCAGTTATACCGTTGGATCGGTCCACAGCAAGACCACGAGTCAATGCTTAAGTGGGAGAATATAAAATTATTATGGATCACCTTCAATCCAAAACTACCACAGGCCCAGATCGTTCTGATGCTATGTCAAAGTATATAAGTACTTTGGCTCCCATCTCAAAACCAATTGACAATGAATGAGGTGGCCTTTGAAACTTATATAATGAGTCACTTTTCTTCACGATAGTGATGTGGGATGTATATTACATTTTTTTAACAAGAATATTCCACGATTGAATTGAAGAACATAGAGTGAAGCTACTTTTTTTGAAAAAAACAAAAAAGAAAGGAAGAAGAAAAAACACTCTTTCAGCCAGCAAGAAGATGTCAATTATACAAATAAAAGAATTTATTCTATAGGAACACGCACAATTTTGCTGGGATTTACTAATAAGATCAAGATCTCCACGGACTGTGAAACATTGACCTCAGATCAACTAATATTTTTGTTTTCTACAGAGGCACGGGAGGTAATTACAAATATTTGTAGGTTAAAAGTAAGTTTTCATAACTATTGTCTGATTAAAATCAGCAGACATGAAGTAAGAGATGTACACAATTTAACCTATGCTAAAATGCGATGTAATAACATAGGTACTTACTAAAAATATAGGTATCTTTCAAAAAAAACTATTTCCTCTGTCCCAAAATTATTGTCCAGTTTGAGATCTCGATTTTAGTACAATTTGAACTAAAAATGAAAATTCAAACTGGACAATAATTATGGAACGGAGGAAGTAATAAGTAATAACATTCTAGATCACTTTCATTAGGAATATGCTTGTTCATGTCTTCAAGAATACGTTTCTACTTTAAATTATTAATTAGTGTCATATATTGTTGAGATTTTAAGGTTAAGGGAGGTGGAGGAAGAGGATGATTAAGGACGACTTTTAGTAGTTTAAGTTCTTTCAAAATATCAAAAAATATACTCTTAACAATATTTTAGAGCTCTAATTCCATCATTCGATCTTTACTACTAAGTACACTTGTTAATTACTAATTAAGTCTACAGTACACTTGTCGTTCTCTCACTATTTTATTTTTAGTCTACCAGATGTACAATCCTAAAGTATGAGAAGGAGTCCATTCACAAACGAAAAGAACTCGTAATATTGATTATAATTGTGGCATTTATAGTTATTGTTTTCTCTATGTTTTAATTGTAACACTTGATAGTCTTCGGTTTTGAATTTCATGGGCTACCATTCAAAATGGGTGGCCGGAGAAAAAACCTAGAAACCGATTACGTAAGTAAGCAACCCTTATAATATTATGATCACAAATTTAATTCTGTTTTGAAGCTCACTATATTAATTTGATAAGAATTGTGATACGATCATACGAATAAACATTCCTATAATTTCATATAGATTGCCATGTTCAAAATATTCGCAGGCTTGTTAAGACTTGGTCAAACCGTCCATTAATTAGGTTTTAGATGTGTATCTTCCATTTTCCTGTTTGGAGTTTCCGACCAATTTGTTATGCTCACAAGTTAGCAGCATATTCTTTGAAGGTGTAAATGTTGAGGGTCACCGCAGCACCATATCTAAACTTAATTGATTTTGTTCCCCCCTCTCACTACTTATCACCTGGAAAAAAGATTCCAAATAATAATTTCGCAGTGTAAGATTCATCATTCATGGAGCTAGAAAGCAGCCTTGCAAATTATTTTATAACAGGAAAAAGGAAGAGGATAAGTTTATTCATTTTGCATCAATCCACTATTAATTTCTCTCTCTTTTGTTTCTAACAATTATTATATTCCATTATGAATATTCTCTTCCTTCTTTTTATTTCATGAGAGATGAAGATTCACTGAAAGGCTAGCTATGTCTGTATGGGATTTATGGAGAGTAAACATGAAAGACTAAAAGGAAAATCATATGTCTCTTATCTGAACACCCCCCCAAAAGAAAAACCAAAATTAATACTCTCTTTAAAATTATTGTCCAGTTTAAATTTTTTACTTTTAATTAAATTTATACAAAAAATATAAATCCAAACTTGATAATAATTTGGGGATGGAAGGAATAATTATATTTTTAGAACAACAAATTTAATGAAACAGTCATTGTAGGAGACATAATATTTTAAAGAATAAGAAATCGCTAGATGACTACTTGTCATTACATTAATTGTTGTCTAAACCTTTAGGAGAAGGAGTCTGGAAACGGGGAAGAGCTTTGTTATTGTTAATGTCATGTAAACTTCCTTTCTAATGCTCTTTGAAAACTTGTGTGAGCTAGTTTGATTTGCCACACTATCTTTATCTTCTCTTCTTTTTTTTCTTTTTTGTTTTTTTTTTTTTTTGAAGTGGTTCTTTACTTCTCTTTATCTTCTCTTTAATCAAACTGATAACATCGATTGCACTTGATTTTAAAATACTTTTTCCGTTCTTATAAAATGATTCATTGTTTTTTCAATGAGCGTTTTAATTTATTGTTTGTTGATTTTTCATTTCTTTTTTTCTCTAGCTAGCTAGCAGTACTCAAGATATGAGTTAGAGGTTGTTGCCAAGCATTATCCCAATGGATGAAAATGGAGAATTTCATGTGGTTTTGTCCCCGAATTGAAGATAACTCGATTGCATTAAGAGGGGGAAAATGAGAGGGGAAAAGAAAATAAAAAGTGGGAAATGGACCCATAATAATTTGATGCCAACTGAAATTATCATAAGTCACAACCAACATATCAAAGTCGCAAGCAACGACAAAAAGTCCATTAAAACTAGGTTGGCCAAATTGACACATGGCCAAAATGAAATCCAGAAACCCCTTTTGCCAGAATGTACATTTTCCAATAAAACAAGGCAGGAACACAATCCCCCAAATGAATAATGAACCAAGGGCAGAGCTCCCTTCGGATCATTTTAAGGTCCATTATGATGACGTATTCGGAAGAAAAGAAGAAGAACAAGAAGGAATTCTTCCTCCTTTAATCGAGATTACATATCTTGTACCCTAACAACGTGACCACATTAGTCGAAAACGAGCCCTTAATTATGTTCATGTTTGTAAACTTAATCAAGGAGAATAACAAATCGTATTCTTATTTTGGGACGGAAGAAGTGTTAATGCAGAATAAGTGCGACAAGGGATCTCCTCTGCAGCACATGTAGGTCGCTGGGTCTTTCATGTCACTTGGTTCCGAGCAAACATGCCAAGTGATTCTTCCCCGAATTGTATACATCTCTTCCAGAAATTAATAAATGCACGTTTCGCGCTTTAATTAGTTTGAGAGATCATCATCAGTACTCAGCAACAGGGAAGAGTATGATCAGGACCTGTTTTTTTGTCCAACGTAAATTTTTAGTAAAACCATGTTGGACTATCTGTTCTAACTTCTAAGTAATTAAGAACTTCAAAAACCCTAGATTAAGATCATCCCCTTAGGATAATGTTTAGGTTAGGAAATGGCAAATGTGAGAACAAAAGCCAGGTATTAATTAATATAAGGTTCGATAATGTCCCAGTGGGTACAAATTACAAACTTTATCCCATGTCCAAAAATTATATAGTAGTTGAGTAAATATGAAAAATCCTCAGACACCAAAGAAGAAGAAAAGGTAAAGAAAACGTAAACATCAAGACCCTCTGTCGTACTTGTTGTCCACTTCAGATTGGAGACATCCATAACTGAAATGCGGGCTACTTAAGAAGAACTCTTTCCAGGAGGAGTTCCTAACAGCTGGAGGCCCCCCTAGTAATTATTAGGGTTTCATAATAACAAGTAATATTAATTTGTCACACACAAAAATTCTACCCAAAAAACAAAGCAAATTGACTGAAATTGTTTCCAGTCAATGTATTTGTTGTGAACATGAAATGATTTGGTGACCATAGATGTAGGCGCCCAATTGCAACATGCCAAGTATAGATTATACCACCAAAAGATGAGAGATGATATTTTTGTCCCGGTTTTTGTGTATACGAATCGTAATTGTACATATAAACTTAGAATATATAAAATTGATTGTTAATTTTAACACAGTTGATACTCAATAAGTGTAACAGATCATATCGAAGATGGTTTTCATCGTGAACATATACATTCTACATTCTGCTTTATCTATCCTTCAATATGGAATGCATTATTCTCTTCAGAGAGAATTATCAAAATAAGTGGGGCAGAATCCAGTTCATCACTGTCAAATTAAGAGAATGAGTGCATGATTATAGTGCCTGGTACTCGAGCTGAAGTATGAATCAAATAATTCCAGCAAAAACAAAACTGCCCGAAGTGATAGATATGGTCCAGCAGAACATGGCTTCTGGCATTTCTCCAACCCAAAATGGTCACCTAAGTCAGCCATCCAGCTGCATTCCCACAGGCGTGTTTTAAAGATAACCCAACAATATTGTTGGGGCATCAAGGTCCTACTTTTTCTTCTCATTTATCATTATATCTTCCTAGAATTACTTAATTTGATCTTAATTCCTAAACCAAATAATTTTAACATATCAGGGAGTGACGAAGATAGATCATCAAATGACGATGAGAGTTTCACGTTCAAGAGGGTGGCTAACTTGACCAAGGAAGAAAACTAAGCAAAGAGAAGTGATTGTGGATAATGTATCAAACCAAGTCATATAGGATTAGCAGATTTGCAGCTTAAACCACTACTGACAATCATAATCACGTCGCTAGACAGTAAATCCAGAGTAAACATGGAATTATAAGCAAAGCACATGGAATGATGGAAGCATACCACATGAGAAGATGTTGAAGGGAAAAACATTAACACACAAACTCAAATCAATCAAATCATTGTGCAGTGAATCCAGAACTCTGAAGTTGCACACACCAGCGTAGTTTGACAACATATATGAGAAGCAAAAGCAAATTACTGGAAAACTACCAGACTTTTGACAAAGCAATACAACAGAAACTCGGATCAATCACTTCATTAAGCGGTGAAAATCACAGTTTTCAAGAGAGGCACAAGCACAAGAGCAATTTAGCCAGAGGGCTAATGTTATGAAAAGGCTTCAACATATGCAGAGGCAGCATGCTGCATTGAACTTCATCATTAACATATTTACGAAACCAGAATCATCAAATTAAGGTTGCGATTTAAGAATTAAAACTCATCATAACACCAGGTCACCAGCATTATTGGAGACCCACACTCCAAAAAAAAAATTAAGAAAACCCAATACTAGTTAGCTTGGTTTCCGAGATTACTGAGATTACACATGCTAAAAGATCTTCTGTTCAGAAAGTAAGAGAACTGATCATTGCATTCTTTCCCAATATCACATTCTACTTCCATGTTTTTCTGAATATTTATACCTCATTGTTCCTCTTTTTTTCTGAGAGGACGGACGGATTCAGGGGACGGACGGGTTCAGGGGTTATCAAATTCCAGGAGATTAGAAAAAAGCATAGAAAACAACAAACAGGCATTGGATACTTGGGATATGTGAAGAATCACACTTTACTTTACAATCAATTGATTGATATTAGGCAAAGAATTCCAGAAATACAATTCCAGATTCTGGGCATTACGATCCTTGACAAATACAATTCCAGAAAATTGGCATTACGATACAAGATGATCAAATAGACCATGCTGGTAGGAAAAAGACTCTAGGGGCTAAATTGGTGTCCACGGATGGCACAGGAAAAAAACACTATTGGTCAATCAAAACAGATGTTACACATTGCAAAAAAATTGCATGCATCAGCACTCAGATGAACAATACAGCAACTGATTTTCTCCAAGGTGCAGTCAGTTCCTACCTCACTCTTCCTTCCTAGCTTTAGCTCTGGCAGGCCTTGCTGGCTTAATTATTTTACCAAGGAGGATCAATAAAATTGGAAGAATCGTTCCAATGTAGTAAACACTCTTGTAGGCATTGATGGTCTCATTCAGGCTTAAAACCTGTGACACAAGAGAGAACAAGTTTCAGACACTTGTAACCTTAAACATTGTTTTAAAGTTTAAAGCAGAAACATTAAAATAGAAGTGCCCAAGGGCTCACCATAAAACCAACAGCGGAGTAGTTGAGAGTCAGAAGTGTGTATGCAAAATTCAAGAATACTAACAACTTCTTAAACACTGCCACATTTGTAGCTTGCTGCCACCTATAAAGGACTGCTCACAGGAGAAGATGTATTAGAATATGAGGAAATTGGGAAAATATTTTTCCAGTATTTGACAGAAAAAATGCCCATTATTTACCTCTTGATCCAGCAATAAACAAAGCAGATTGGACGAAGAATATGATGTACCCAGGATACAGTCCCTATCAAACCAACGCATTTTGAATTCAATATTTATAAAAATAAAAATGTAAAATTTATGAAGACAGATAAGGGAAAAATAAAGGTAGAATGGCAAGATGAATTGCCTTAAGAAAACAAACAAAAGATGGGATCAAAGGAACTGATGCTTCTACAGGGAAAAAGTAAGAGAATAAAATATATATGATCCTGGCAGAGAACAGAACCTCAAAGAAACAAAATTTTGTGATTATGTAGAACAAGAATTGGGAAATCATTTTCTCAATTATCTACATTCCCTTTAAGATCTGGGACATCTCAAGCACACTCACTCTGCAAAATGTCATAGAAAAACCTCATACTGAACTAATAACTAACCATCAGACGCGGAATCAATCAATCGTGATTTACACAAACATCATTTGGAAAGTAGAAAAGGTACTCTGTACTTACATGCCATACAGCACTGACAGTTTGTGTAGCCAGCAATTGGAAGAAACCAGCTTTCTTGCCATTCTGGACAAGCCTCTCGTAAACATCTGACAAAATACAAAAAAAATTGATAAGTTACAGATTCAATACATGAGATATATCAGGATGCCATGACGAGGATTGCATTAAACTATGAAGAGACCATCTGATCAATCACTGACTATAACATTTCAACCACTACTGAGACTATATCCTGAACTCAAATATAGACCATTAAGAATTCCAGGAAGAGCACATCTTCCAATCATTCACTAGAGAAAATACATCAAAAGTTTAAGGTATACCTACAACAGAACAGGAAACGCCTATCACTTTCATCTCTGTTTAATCTGCTTGGGCCATTAATATAGATGGTAACATGCTTTCTTAATGGAGCCAAAATATGTTGCTACGAAAATGTGCCTTATAAATAAAGATATAAGAGAACAGTTCATTAATCTAGAAGTTACGACCAGGTACACAAAACATCTTTCCTACTTTTATTTGTAAACAAGGGAAATGTTCAAATATGTATTTTTCATAAAAGAAAATGTGCACATTAATGACCATTGAGTGAAAACTAACTCGGTTTTGGCAACGTTATAAAATGCAGTTGATAGAGAAATCTGAACTTACAATGCCGTAACCAGGTGCTGACTTGTATATTCCACACTAGTGGCAACTGCACTGAACTCTTTGCAAACTCGACGCCCAAAATATCAACATTCTTTGCACGGTCCCATCGCGGTTTGGGAGGAGAAGAGTCAGTCCAGCCACTGAATCCTAAGCCAGAAATTATGATGGCTGCTTCTGAGATTGACCAGATGAAATAGTATTTCCACCGAGCGGTAAAGCCGGACATGTATTGATAGCTTAGACGTTTCCAGAATCCCCACTCTTGGTATACTGGCTCGTTAAATCGGGAAAGAGGATAACGAGGTGAAAGGTACAAATATAAGCCCATGCAGATTGCAGCTTGGACAATAGCTCTAAGGGTAGCTCCAAAGGGTGAAGGTGATCCTTTCTCTGACGATTTCCAGATCTACAAAGAAAAGGATCAGAAAATTACTTATACATCTACACCTCCTCACACTGAGCATGAAATAATTACAAGCAGGTACAGACTAAAAAAAAAATAGAATTTTTTTTTAAAAAGAAAAGGGAAAAAAAGCGCTCACTAACCCCTTTTCTCTCCGTCCATTGAAGATAATCTTTCATCTCATAGACAGGACCAGCAAAATGGCTTCCACAACATAGACAATAACCGAAATACTCAATCAGAGAAGGCAACTTCTCCAAACGATTTTTCTTCTGTGCTTCACGTAAATTTTCTTCTTTCAACAATCCGTCATTATAGTTAATCACACAAGAAATAATTTTCAATGTGATCACCATTAATGCTCCTGTCATGTGAAAACATAAAAGTTAGAAACTGAGTATGGACCATTAATCACTTATGAAGTGCTGATAATGTCATATAGCTTCATATTCAATTAACTTCAGTTACATGCATCAGCACCAACCCAAAAGGAAAATTCCAATATTTACCAAATATTAACAACAAAGAAGTCTACTGAATATTAAGAGCTTTTTGAGTAAGTCAAATACACTTAATGGATTCTTGTTCATCATATAGATACATTGCTTATGAAAATACAGAGGAACCAACCAAAGGATAAAAGATATAAGCAGTTAGAGACTCACAGAACTTAAAGATGCAATCTTTGCACAATTACACAATAAAGTAGACATTGCAAGCATGGGAAAGTCCTTACCTGTGGCATCAATGCCTCCTTCCTTCCATGCATCACCACTCATGTAATAAACATGGCTACGCATGCAAAACAATAAGCATTAAATCCACAATTCAAGACTAGTGAAATAATTAAAAAAAAAAACACACACACACACACACACACAAGTAATTGAAATCCAACTATAATTTGCTTGGTTCCCACTTCAAATTAGTGAACTCAAAACAATAAACAGACTCCAACAGATTCAATATAAAAAAAATAAAAAAAATTCCGAAACAGGGGAGCTAAAAAAAAATACAAAAAATTCAAAAAAAAAGACTAAAAATTGAACACATTCCTGCGGAAAACAGATCATAATTAGAAATCACAAAGGCACATTACCAGCCAATGAGGTAACCAAAGGCCAAGAAGAAAGTGATGATCCCGCAATACTTCCGGGTAAGAACCATGGAAGCATAGCCCAAAAGCATGGGCACCAAAAAATGGAGATTCGAAGAGAACCCGAACGAGAGGTAGGACAAAACGGCGCCGGTGAGGCCGGCATAGACGTGCCGTCCGGTGACACCGGGAACAAACCGGTGGAGGAAGCTCACCGGAATGGTAACAACGAAGCACAACAAGAATCGAAGCACCGGGACCGATACCCCAATCGCCGACGCCATGGCATCCATCTCCGGTAGACCCATATCGGAAAAAACCACCGGGTTCGGGTCAGCAGACTGAATCACACACTCTCTGGATTCTGGACTAGTAGTTATTGGGTTTTCTGAGAGAAGACTTTGGGAGTCGCGGATTTCAGGGGAGGAAGAAAAGGATTAAATAATGGGGACACAGATTTTAATCTCACGGTGATGTCACGAACGGAAGAGGATTTGATGCTTTGATTGATGTGGGTCCCTTTGGGAAGAGGAAGTGGGGTCCAGTTCGACGTCTTTTAGGATCCGGCCGATGGCCCAAAAATTTGTTTGGTTCAGTTTGTTGAACACTTTGTGAGAGTTAGATTGGGTGCAGTTAGCAGTGTGGTTCAGGTTTCCTCTTCGATGATTCCTATTTGGAGTGTTTTTCTCTCTTTTTTTTTTTTGATCTTTTCTCCTGTTTTCCTTTTACCTATATTTATCTGTGAATTTTACCGCTAATTTTCCACCAATAAACGTCAGAAGAAATCATATTCACAGCATAAACCTCCCAATTTTGTTTTTCTCTATTTGTTTTCTAGAACATCAGCTAACAATATTCTTTTCTAAATTCAACTTTGTTTAGACGAGCCACTTTTTAGTACTATACTAGTAGTATATACAAGGTGTGGTTAAACAAGGCATAATTTTTTTGTTTTCTTTTCTTCGATATTTATTATTGTAGGAATTTACTTAATCCTTAGTATGTCCATTGATGGAAAACTAAGCCAAATAATTGATGTTTTACTGCAGAATATGTTGATTTAATTTGTTATGTATGCATTTTTAATATTGTACCAAAAAAATTGTAGTACAACTTAGAGATAAAATTATTAGAATACGGTTTGAACAAACTTTAGTTACAAGTTGCTTACTTGAATCACAAAAAAAGATGGCAAAGGTTTAGATATTTTAAGATTACATTTCCTAGTAAATATTAGTACCTCTACAATATCATAACGAACTTACATCTTTGGTTTTTCCTAAGTTCCCATTAATCTCCTGTGATTTAGTACAAAATTTGTGAAGTTGAAAGATTTGCAACTAATTCGATTTCTTGTACACATGATTTTCATGTTTTAATAATTCTCTAATTCTACTTATCGAGATGCCCGCGAAGAGATTAGTCAATGTTACCGATATTGGACACCATGCAATATAAAAAAAAAATAAAAATAAAAAACAATTCTCTAATCCCTTGAAAGAAGCCATCGTGAACTTCTTTTACTAGTTAGTTGTGGATTCCGTTCTAACAACTATATGACATTAATATCATCAACTTACGCAATCACTTGCCTTTTGTCCAAGATATTGTATACACAAGCTGTAATACTACTTTTTCTTTTTTTTTTGTGGATAAAGGTAATACTTCTTTTGTTTTTTTTTTTTTTTTGGTACATAAGGGAGGCCAAGCCTAATTCATACAAGAATATTACGAGGATACGAAATCCCCCTTACATCATGGCGTAGCCACTGAGTGACAAACGTGAGGGGTCTATCTAGCTTCCTAGTACCCCATGGTAGTTGCTCCTTTCGTCCCACCAAGCAGTCTGCTGCGAAATGTGCTTCCCGGTAGGTATGCTGGAGGGTTGCCGTCCACCTTCTGTCAAGCAACTCCCTTATGCTGCTGATGAGGCTCCCATGCACTCCTGCCGGCCTTTGTCGGTCCTTCACCAGTTTGATGGCGGCGCTACTGGCCGTTTCCACTATCACCTTCCGTTCCCCCTTCTCCCATGCCAGCACCAAACCTTGCCATATTCCCCATAACTCAGCCCCAGTGATGGAGGTGGATCCAATGTTTATCATAAATTCCTGCACTCATTTGCCATTACAGTTTCGGATAAGGCCTCCTGCTTTTGCCTCCCCTGTCTCATGATCATAGGCCTCATCCATTTTCAGTTTTACAAAATCCTGTGGCAGTGGAATCCATCGAATGGATCTCCTCTCTTGCCCCAGTTTGCCCCTCCAATTTTCTGTCCCTTTCAATGGCTATCAAAATACTCTCAACCTTTTTTCTAATAACTTCCACCTTCACGCCTATTGGGTAGTCTTTGTTGGAGAAGACGAGTTCATTTCTCCATTGCCAGATTTTCCACACCGCAATCCCAAAACTCCAGTTCCGGCCTTTATTTTTTGCCACTCCAAGGTTTGAAATCAACCAACACTGCATCTCTTTCCTGAAAAACTCAGTATCCACATTAAACAATAAGTATTTCCAGAATTGCCTTGTTGGCGGGCAATCCCTAAAAACATGGGCAATCATCTCCTCCGTCAACCCACAGCGTGGGCATATTGCCGAGTCCCCCATATGCCTCCTATATCTCTCGGAGTCCGTCATAAGACGCTCTCTTGCTATTAGCCACAAGCAAGTACGAATTCGTTCAGGTCCGGGCCAGGTCTAGACCACTTTCCAAACAGGAGATGGTCTATTGGCAAAGTTGGATTCAATAATATCATACGCCGATCTGGTTGTGAACAGACCACTACTCGACGCCGGCCAAGAGTACCGATCCTGCCTTCTTTCCGGGTTTGGCGACATAGTCGCTACAATTTTTATAAGCACTCAAGCTGATAGAAAACTCTGGAACATCTCCCAATTCCAGTTCCCTTCTGGAATGATATAATGATTCACCGTGAGTTGTAGTAGCTCCTCCCTTACGGCGGCGATAGTCAATTCTTCCAGTGACAGTAACCTTTTTGTCCATGGATCCCTCCAAAATCTCACAAGGCTTCCATCATTTATAACCCACTGGGCTCCCTTCATCAACGACCTCCAGATCTTGGTGATGGACCGACAGACCATGGAGCTGTTGGAAGGGGTTAGGGGCCCAAACCTTAGCAGTCCAACGGAGTAATATTTTGCTTTAAACATCCTAACCCACAGTGATTCCAGTTTGTTCAACAAAGCCCAGCCCAGCCCAGCTTCATTAAGAAAGCCTGGTTCTTGGACCTTAATTTTTTGAGCCTAAGCCCGCCGACCTCCTTCCTTCACAGACCTCCTGCCAGCTCACCAAACTCATTGTTTGCTTCTCCTCATCCCCTCCCTATAGAAATCTTCTACATAGTCTTTCAACCTCATTCAAGGTCTTGGCCGGTATCATCACAGTTTTTATATTAAAATATAGAAACGTCAGAAGGATCGAATTAATCAGTGTTCTCCTTCCAGCAAAAGAGAGGTTGGCCGCATTAAAATTTCCCAACGCCGTCTAAATCGTCTCCACTATTTCGGCAAAGGTAATGTGGGTCACTCATTCATGGAACAGGGGAGTCCCCATGCACTTTTTCATATTTGACACCTTCAAAAAGCCTAACTGTCTCGCCAAGCAACTGCCATTTTGTCGTTCCACATTCACCAAGAAGAACACCCTGGTTTTGGGCTAACTTACTTTCATACCCGAGGCGTGACAAAACTCTCTCAGGACATCTTTAACCACATCCACTTGCCTTTCTGATGCTTAGAGGAAGAGGATGATATCATCCGCAAAGAGAAGGTAAGGTAGTGGCAGCTTCATCCTTCCAAAAGTCAGAGGCTTCCATTCTCCTGTCTCGACTTCTGTTTGATGGCATGAGCCATTCTCTTAACACAAAGAACAAATACGTATGGGGAGATGGGATCTCTCTGCCTAATTCCTTGGGTCGTCTTAAATTTCTCTCACAGTGCTCCATTCTACTGGACCCGCATGGATGCTGAGGAGACACAGTTCATCGTTCCCTTGATCTTCAATGTAGTCCCACTTGATCATATCATAGGCCTTTTCAAGGTCCATCTTAACAACCATATACCCCACCTTTACCTTCTTCGTGCGCATGGTATGTATAGCCTCTTGGGCTAGAATGATGTTGTCGGATATGACCCTGCCTAGCACAAAACTCACTTGCTCCGCCCGAATGATCTTCGGCAGCACCTTCTTAACCTGATTCGCCAACACTTTGGTGATAATTTTATAAGCAACATTACATAAACTTATCGGCCTGAATTGGCGAATTGAGTTTGGATTTGGAACCTTAGGAATAAGTAAAATTGTTGTTTGATTGATCTCCTCAACAATTCTCCCGGAATCAATGACTTCCTTCACTAATCCATATACCGATTGGCTTACCATCGGCCATTTCTGTTGGTAGAATAAGGCGTGCAAGCCGTCTGGCCCCGGAGCCTTTAATGGGTGCATTTCCTTCAACGCTCCAATCACCTCATCTCCCCTTACTTCATTCTCCAAAGCTCTTAGATCCTCATGCTGTATAGGAGAAAAGCAGTTCCTCACTCCATACATCACCGGTTTCGCAGGCCGTGTTGCATAGAGGGACTTGAAGTACTCCACGGCCAATTTTTTGAGTGCCTCCGGCTCATCAATCACCCGGCCAGAATCATCCTTCAAAGCACTTACCCTGTTCCTCTTCCTTCTTCTTTTCATGTAGCAATGGTCGAACTTGGAATTTTTGTCCCCGTACAAGTTCCATTCCCTATTTGCTTTCTGAATTAACAGAAGTTCCTCATGCACCATGATTTCATCCAGCTCTTGACTTAGTTCCATCTCCAACACTTCTAGTTTCGGCAACGTATAATTCTCTTTAGCTCTCTATATGCCCCCCAACCTGGCTAACAGCCTCCTTTTCTTTCTCAAGACATTCCCAAACCTTTTTTTATTCCACTGTGTGATCGCCTCTGTGAAGTTCTTCGCTGCACTGATAAATTCAGACGTCGGTCTCCAATGTTCCTGCACCAACCCATCAAATTCCTCATGGAGGTGCCATGAAGCAAGGAATTTGAAAGGTTTTTGCCTCCCATCTTTCCTTCATTCCTCTCTACATCGTACTAGAAGAGTACAGTGATCGAAGTGCATCCTTGGAAGGTGGATGGTAACAGCATCAGGTAACTTGTCGATCCACTCTTCGTTACACAGGAATCGGTCAAGCTTTTTGACCAAATTCCCTCGTCGCCAAGTAAATTTGGTACCACTGTAGGAAGCTCTAACATTTCTGTCTGCAGCATCCATTCTGCGAACCATTTACACGATCCCAAGCCATTAACTACTCCCCCTTTCTCTTCAGACTCTCTTAGGATGCTATTTAGGTCCTCACCCAACAACCAAGCCTTCGAGACCCCCTTGAAATTCTTCAGAGTTCTGGCCATAAACCCCTTCTGATACCGGGATTCAGGCTAGCATAAATGAAAGTAACCAAGAAAACTTCAGTTCCATTCCTTACCCTAGTGTGCACAAATTGCCTTTGGCACTCTAGTACCTCCAAGTCCACATTATCTTTCCAAAGTACCCAGATTCCACTTGAGAAGCCATTTGCCTCAACCCGAAAGGATCGATCAAATTGACTCCTCTTGATAAATTCGTCTGCATCAACCCCATTTATTCTTGGCTCAAGCACAGCTACAACATCTGGCTGATTTACCGCTATCAATAGCTCAAAATTTTTTTTGAAATGTTCCAATCGTGCACCCTGCACGTTCCATGAAATAAAGGTTGTACTCATAACCTATTATTCATGGAAATAAAAACACACCTTAGAAATCAATGGGCGCCACCACGGATGTGATGGCATCTTCTTCTACTCGGCATTCGATTTCCTCCAGCAGCCCATTCCCCCTTTGGAGTACCTGGTCAAGCAGCGAAGGTGCTGTATTGTGGGTGTTCGGTGGTATATCCTCCTCAATTGGGTGGAATTGGGAGGTTTCGCCCCCATGTTCTGAGCAAAACGCCATCGTTGTGTGGGTGAATGAGTTGGGGGGTGGGAACGAATGGCAATTGCTTAGTGTCTAGATGGGTCCAGGGAAATTTTGGCTACTGAAACATTGGGGCCTTGGTGGGCTAAATTGTTATATGGTACTGAAGGTAATACTGCTTTGTTATATGGTAAAAACTCCATGGCCAACTTTCATTTCTTGTTTAAAAAAAAACTTTCATTTCTCGTTCTATACACTGGGGTGGAAAAAGGATGAGAATCTTTTCAAACGTATCTTCTGTTACTACTTATAAACATTTTTTTTGTCAGACCTCTAGGTCAATTACTAAAGTAGTAAAAGACAATTTGGTAGAGTAATTTACGGTAAACACATGACCTATGGACCTAAAGAATGGAGTAAATAACTAATACCCATCATAGTTACAATTACTAAGAAAATTAAAAACTTACCAACGACAATAGCTACTGACCAAATGTTATTACTTTATCTATTTTAAAATAACTTTTCAGTATGAATTTTTATTTTTTGTTTAAATAAAAATGAGGAAGTAATTGAAGATTTATAGTCCGATTCAAACAAGGCAGGAGCAGAATAATTTATTGTGAAAGAGAATAACAAAGGTAAACAGTAGGACATGGCTTCCAAACGTAGAATATACACATTCATTTTATCATTTCAGAAAGGAAGGAATATCAATGTATTATCTGACCTTTACACTTTTACCAAACCTATATATTTTTATTATTTCTAAATTGTAACCTTCTATTATACCAAACCTATATACTTTTTTTAAGTTATTATTTTTCCATTTTCTTTGTCCCTATATTTTCATCTTTTATCTTGCAATAAAAAATTCTTCAATTATTAGACCTGCTGGCCATGGCCACCAACCTTAGCCAGCACCACAATCCCAATTAGTATCAAGTCAACTATCCGAATTCCGATTCCAACGACCCTCAAAAATCGCCGTCCAACCTTCCTTCAAACTCATCGGAAACATCCCAAATAAAAAATCAATTTATAGTTACTTCAATTAGATCTAGAAATTACTTCTCCCTTATGCCCAATTCCCATTATCGAAATTGCCGCAAAGTGAATCCCAATTTTTCCTAGAAGAAATCGCCTCCAAGCAAAGCCCCCGGCGTCGAATTTAAATGGATTATTTGTTGTTGGAGAACTTGAATCCGACTCATCTCCTCCTCCGGGTTGTCTAGTAGAACTCGAGACCATAGGTAGGTGGTATTGGATGTGAAGAGAGATGGTGACGCTAATTTTAATTGTGAAGGGGGCAGGGGAGGATTAGAGTTGTTGGAAAAGGAAGAAGAGGTGCGGCGATGGGGATTGTGAGGGCACTGGGAGAGGTAGGGGAGAATCGGAGTTGGAAGAAATGGAAGAGAAGTGAGCGAAGGAAAAATTGGCCGATTTACCCAAATCTTTACACGAATTGTCAATTCTACCTTTTTCTCTTTTGGTAAGTTAATATTACCCTAAACTATCCAACCGTTAGCCAATTTTGTCCAATTTACTAATTTCCGTATAAATTAACGGAAATCTATTTGTTTTAATTACAAAAATATCCTAATAGCTTTAAAATTATAAAAATAACCCCAAAAATTTATAAAAATAACAAAATAGTCACTTTTTTCAGTTTTTATTTAAATTTTCTGTCTTTTATTTCTTTTTACTATTTTTCACAACTGTAAAAATATACTATATGATCTCTTACAAAAATATTTATTTTTAACTCTAATGTACAATTATAATTACATATTTGTAAGACATGTTTGATTTACGTAAACATATTAATTTTTTAATAATATAATTTAACAGTAATGATATTATTTTTTTATCCCTTTTTTCAGTCTAAACAATAAGATTCTTTAACTAATACTAATTTTACACAAAAAAATTAAACAATTAGCATAGATTAAAAAAGAATATATTGGTATACTTTAATGTATTACGATTTAATTCAACAGACTTTAAATTATATTATAAAATTAAAAAAATAATTAAAACTAAAATATAAATTTTCTTTAAAAGGCCAAGTGCGAATAGAAAGTAAAAAAAAAAACATGTATTTTATTTCTACATTGGCCCAACACAAGAATTAGTGTCGTGGCATTTACAAACATGGCACAAAATATTTTATAAGAAAATATGTATATTTATTATTGCGAGGGTTTAACATTTTGTGACAATGTTTTGAGATATTAATATCTCTAACTTTAGCAGGAAGTCTTTTTAAAATAAAAATAAAATAAAATAAAATAAAAATTCATTCCAGTACTGGACTTCATCTTTTTTATATTAAAAAAAATTAGATTACCCAGTGAGAATCGAGACCTTGAACAGAGTTTTAATCATCTCATATCTTAAATCACCTGACCATCCAACTTAATCCTCCTACCTTTAGTGGATCCCGCTTAAATGTGAGAAAAATCACTCTCCCGGTAATAAATCTTTTGGTGAGAATTAATGTTATATCTACTCTCATGAAACTTAACACCCTAAACACTACATTGTACTCTATATTTTAATTCAATTATTTTTTAATTGGATAATACAATCTATAGTCTATTTAGTTAATCTGCAACAAATTAAAATATACTCATATATTATTTTTTAATCTATGTTAAATGTTTTAATTTTTTTGTAAAAAAAATAGTTTTAGTCAAAAAAATCTTATTCTTTAAATTGAAAACAAAAATGAATTAAAAAAATATCATTATGTCTAGCCATATTATTAAAAAATTAATATGTTTATGTAAATCAACCATGAGTTACAAAGTGTATATCCATAAATTTGTATAGTAGTGTTTAAAAATAAATTGTTTATTTAAAAAATCATATAGTATATTCTTATGGTTATGAAAAATAGTAAAATGGAATAGAAAACATAAAAAATTTAAATAAAAAGTGAAAAGAGACTGTTTTGTTATTTTTACAAATTTTTGGGATTATTTTTATAATTTTTAAAGCTATTAGGGTATTTTTATAATTAAAACTAATATAATTCCTTTAATTTAAACAAAAATTGGCAAAATGGACAAAATCGGCTAACGGCTAGATAGTTTAGGGTAATATCGGCTAAACGAAAAAGAATAGGATAGAATTGATAACGTATGTAAAGTATTGGATAGATCGGTCAATTTTTCCAGTGAGTGAAGGTGGGGAATTTGGGGAAGGCCGGTAGGGGAAATTAATTAATGTGAGGCAATATACTACAATTTTTGTATTTTTATATTATTAGAAAAAAAAGAAGAAAAAGATGACAGACAAATTTTAATTAGATATTGATCCCACATGAAAAAACTTAACTTACAAGTAAAATATTACAAAATGGGGCCCACAGGTAAAAATAAAAAAATCAAATTTTAGATTTTTTAATTTTTTAATTTTTAATAATATTATATTTGAATTTTTCAATTTTTGAATAATAAATTATAAATTAATATAATATATTTAGTATTATTTTAATGAATTTTTTTTAATATATTTTGAAAATTTTGAGATTTATAAGTTACCGAAATGCCCTTGTTGACTTGACCTAGAATTGGTCAGCCTCAGAACCCACAAATATAAATGGTCCAAAAAAATAAAAAGGACCGAATTAGTTGAAAAGACAAATGTAATGGACTAAATGAGTGAGTTTTCAGTGTAAAGAACCAAATTAAATTTTCTGGCAAATGTAAAGAACTTTTTGAGCAGATTACTCTTCTTCAACTTTCTAAATCTCCTTTTTGCTCGAAATGAGCTTTGCGGAAGTTTAGTTATCCTTAAATTGTTAGCCTTTCTGTTCTAAAATTATTGTTCAACTTTGTGGGAGTACAAATTTGTCTATATATAAAAAAATAACAATAAATAAAGTTAACAAGCTTCAGCGTGAGAGGATAAAAATCAAGTTGTATTAATGGTGGAGTTAGAAATCCAATAATACAGGGACGAAATGAAAAATGTTTCATTTAATTGGGGCGATTTTTTTTCTTTTTCTAAATTTTGAACTGAAAAATCAAGTCCTTCTTTAATAATAATAAAAAAAAATTAGGATGACCGCCCCTATTAGTCCCTCTGTATATTGATCAACTGAACCTAATATTATTAGTAACGCGAAATTATATGAAAGATCACCTTTGTGTTTCGTGTATCATGTATGTACCTACAACTACAAGTTGAAACTTTTTTTCCAAACATTACATCAAGAATACAATTCCAGTGGCGGAGCCACAATGGGACAATTGCCCCCACAAGATCAACCATGTTGCCATTAGTAGTCATAATATTCAGTTTAGGTTCTTTCAAGTTTTAAGTTCTATTTTATTTTTATTATTATTATTATTATTTTACCTTTTAAGAAGGTTCTTTCAAGTTTTAAGTTCTATTTTATTTTTATTATTATTATTATTATTTTACCTTTTAAGAAGTTAACCTGACATAGTTAATTAGAAATTAGCTTTTGTTGATAAAATTATAGTTGTCGGACAAGTTCCCAGTGCCAAGTATTTTGTATTCTTATAAATGAATGAATTACAATTGACTTATAAATTTTCATTGGATTTGTTTTTCAATAATTTTAATTATTGCTTTTTTCATTTGGAAATATGATCATAAAATTGTGGTAAAACTGTGAGCATGTAGTTGAGAGATCGAATCTCATCTATGATGATTAAAAAAAATTACAAAAAGTTGCAAAGTTTAATCAATCTTAAAAAAAATTTTGAAAAAAAAAACTTCAAAAAATACCTTTAAGTTATTTTCTTTGTCCTTAAAAAAAATTCACATTGAATTTTGAGATTTATACTAATTTTAAACAAATTTAAAAATTTAATGTAGATTATTTCTAAGACAGAAGAAATACCTGCAAAGATTCAAGATAATAAATATTAAAAAAACGTTGCAGTAAAAATACAATCACTTTAAAACATATTCATCATGCCCCAAATGAAATTTACTCCTGGCTTTGCCATGTATAATTTTGTTATAAGGAAAATAAATTATTTAGTCCATTGTATTTGATA